TGTAACACATCATGTTAAACCTCCGCGTACATTTTCCAACGTTCATTAGTCAATCTTTCTGAAATTTCAAACTGCCTGTAACTACACCAAATTTTTATACAAAAGTTTGTCATTTAAATACATTATAATCCTTGCGAATGACTGGTCATTGAGTCATGTATTACATGTACGGTCTTCACAACTTCAACATGGAGCGTATTACAATTTGATATTGACAGTGATGTTCATGTCACCGTCATCTCCTTTCTTTGCGGCAATTGTTGATGGTGTAGGGGACCACTGAGTGTTTTTCTTGGCCATACAGTGCTTTGTCGATCTTTTTTTCTGTCCATCACTTGCTCTCTCGTCCGCGCGGACAGCTGTGGATCTGTGCCCTGTTGTTTCACAGATCAATTGATTCCACCAAGTGTTTCAGCAGGATATAGCTCCCCGTTCTGCTTTTTTGCTTCCAGGACAAATCTTGTGAGAGAAAAGCAAAGCTTGTCCCTTGTCATCTCCAGCAGTTCTACCCAAATAAGGCTGATATCCATTTCGGAGGCTGAACCCATGACCCCATGCTCGTTGCGCCAAGCTATCCAGGCACTGCAGATTTTCACTGCCCAGATGCACTTCTTTTCAGTTGACGTGGAGAAAATGCAATGATAAGGAGAATTTGGAAAGTGTTTAACACACAATCACTCTTAACTCTAACCTTCCCCAACAGCTGGCTTTTGCATTGGGTTTGGCATACCTCAGAAAAACAAAGTCCAACAGCCTCTGTGCACAAAGTCCCACATGGGTGTTTAACTTTGTATGAGTGGGGAAGGTTAGGGCCAGCAACCCTTAGGGAGTTAGGTTTAAACAGGAACCAGATAATAGTAGGAAAGGTGGTCTTGAGGGAACCTGTAAGCTTTCTGCATTTTCAAAATGATGTTTGCTGATACTAAGCTGTAGGCTGACAACTGCACAGATTTGCATTATCAAGAGCAAAATAAAGAAACCGTTTACAAAAAAAGACCACATATTACCTCTTTTGAGATTTGAATGCAACACCAGATTTGGGCACTGGCATTCCAAATCGCTCTTTTGAGTGCCGATTTTTTGCGGCCTGTCAGGAGGATATCAATTCATCTGGATCCAAAATGTCAGAGAACTGCACTCCATATGGGAGCATTAATAGGATTGCCGACGGATAAATCTTCCTTCATAAAGTATCCAAAATGTCTTCGGTTTCCGATTCTGTAGTATCACTGCAGAAACTAGTTTGAGTCAAAAACAGCTCATTGTCTGAACTATACAAGTTGACGTCGACGTGCCTCTGCACCAAATGAGAATGTGCATTAGTTACATGGGTGTGGCGATATGCTTATACACTTAGAGAAACAATTATGAATCCACAGTTTTTCATTTCATTAAACACTACTTCCGAATTGCATTACGTAGGATCCTCAAAGGTCCTGCTGCGAAGATGCTACCTTTTCATCTCAATTCAACTGAGTAACAGTAATTCCTTTGACGCAATGGTTGAAGTCAGAGAATACACTCACAAGTGTGGATTCAAAATTCACAAATTCACTCAGTGCTTCGTTCCTCGTGAATTCTCCAACTTAGAATCCACACTTTCTCGTGTATTCTCCTTAATAGAATCATACACTGACCCCTCCTCTAATCTCACCTAAATTCACTCCCATAAACCTTTCCCTACGGGTACCCGTGATCAGCAACACAGGATCACATCCTAACCTCTGTCCCAGCCCCTCCCAGCCACTCCCACAAGTCTTCCCCCCGGCCAATTCTTTACCTTTGGTTCACTCATAGCAAAGCAGGATCGCATTGTTCCATCCAAAAGTGGTTTCAACCACTCATCTTTCTGTTTCTGATTCCCGTATTTCACGAGGACCTCCATGTTTCCTGTGTCTGGTGCAGAACAGTTGAAGACCTATAAATAGGACCAGTCATTTTCAATAGTTTACGTATCATGACAAGCATTTCACCCTGATAGTCTCCAATGCTTCAATTCACTGTGATTTTACATACAATCTAGGGAATTGAGGTTAAAAAAGACAAGAGAAATTTATTCAGAAAACACTGGGTATTGTAGCGAGTCAAAATATGTGTTTTCGAAGATGTATTTTTTTTCAAGATGTATTTTTTTTATGTGCTTTGCTGACTTTAGCTTTGTTGCTTTAAATAGGAATTTGTCATTATCGTAAGATGAAAATACAACCATAATTGTGAAAACACTAAAACAAAACAAAAAAGCCCTGCAAAATCAAGTGTGGTCCTTAGTTACGGTAAATCTCTAAACGTACATTTTCCCAACCACAAATTTTCAATCACTATTTCTAAAAATGCAACTGTGAGTGAGACTGAACTCTGGGAAGTACACCTACAAAATGTTTCCAACTGAAACATCAAGGCCTACCTCTGGAGAAAATACCGACTTCCCCATCAATTCACACATGTATGCATATTCCATGTTGGTCAGGCCTGCTCCATATTCTGTGTGGGGGTCAGCCTCAAGGGGTAAAAACAAATTCCACAATCCCTCTGATTTGGCTCTATCCTGGAAGTAAGAAAAGCAGGAAATAAAAACTCATGCTTATAGCAGAAATATTTTTAAACAGTTGGTTTATTCCAACTCTAAACAGAGAATCCTGCTGATAGATTGATAGGCTTGAAAACTGGGAACCAGTCAGGTACAATTCAAATGTCCTCACAACTTGGCTGGTAACCTGCATGCCTATATTCACCAAATCTGTATTATAAGCAGCCCATAAAGAAGTCCCGTTTCCAACTATAATATAACTTTGCTCTGCACTGTCACCTCGGTGCTTAAAATTATCAAGTAATAGCATTTAGCATTGAGAACTTCAAGTCTACATTACTTTCAGATTTCTAAAATGACAAGCGAGAACATGAAATACTAAAAATGTGGGTGTCTCTCACCTTGAGTTGCTCAATAATAGGATGTGGATTCCATTTATTAGAGGATAACTGATGTGCAAACAGCTCTCGCTCAACCGGATACACGTACTTTGTAATCATCTCATTGACTTCTTTGTACATGGACTGGGCACGCCCGGAGAGCGCGGACACAGATATGGCAAGAACGCCTGCAATTGGACAAACATTGTGGCCATAAAGTTTCATTTATACCTCAACATTAAATACAATCCTAGAAAAAAGACAGAAAGTTAGAGGGCCTGATGCTTGATTTTTCCCTTTGAGAAATATCCTGCTAGGATAAAAAAAACCAGGCCCTGTAGCTTTTTGATGTGTAGATGTGTATTTCATGTCGCTGCAGTCAGCATGCAGTTAGCAACAAGTTTGGAATTTCACATCCCCTAAAAAAGACTTGCAAGAAAACAAATTTGCATGATGTTCCAAAAGAGGGCTTTAGACCATTTAAAATGTTGGGTGAATACATGGCTGACCAGTCAAATTCCATTAAGCTTGATGATGAGTGTCATTCAAAAGTCAGCCATCTTGAATTGAAAGTGAGGTTATCCTGATAAACAACTCTGGGTATTTAATCCTGTGAAGATGATGCAACAGAATTGTATGGAATAATCTAACTGGGCTCTGAAAAACAACAGACCTCATGCAGTTGGTACTCGGTACTAGTTCCTTTAACATGGCAAAGGACTATTGAAAAACCTGAAGCGCAATCTCTCTATTCTACTGTTGAGAAAATGCAATCCTGCCTTTCGTTTTTACTCACAATAAAAAAGAAACATTTCTCATGTTTTGACTGGTTGAATAGCTCCGTGACCAGCGATACATGTAGGTCTATTTTCAGTGAAATGTAAATGTATTTGCACAACATCTGTCGACCTTTTCCAAACTCGCATTTGATCGACAGATTTTGTTTGCGCACTGTGATTGGTCAAAGCGTTGTTGCAAACTCTTGGAGGTGCACTATTGTGAAATGCACGTATTGTGCTGCAGTATTAAAGTGTTGAATTCCACTGCCCATTCTCAAAGGTATAAAAATGAGAAACCTGCAGGTGAAGTGATGTTCCAAGTTTCTAAATACTGTCGTACTATTAATGTTCTTCTAGATCATTTCAGTGATTTCCAGTATGCCGGTCTGCTGTCTTTATCTCAAACATTATTCCCTCAGTGCTCTCAACTTACCTGGTGCTTGTGTGGAATAGCCCCTCGTGTGTGATGTCCATGTACAAAAGCTCCTCTTGGATGGGGCTGACCCATTACTTCTCGGGGGTGTTCCTGATGGGTTCGATGATGAGGGTGACTTTGTGAAGGACCACCCTAAATTGGCCATCTGTTCTGCTAAGAGCCCAACCTTCTGGGCATCTTTGGAGCTGGCTTGCCCTTCAGGGGAAAATTATGAAAGAAAGGCTCTGAGCAATATTAAACTTTTAACGGAATGAAAGTATTTGGAACATCTTAGGAACGCTGTTACAAGGCCCAGTTCCCAATTTCGGACACCCCCGCCATGCATATACGGCCTACGTTTCCGATGCCAGGAACCCTGGCGCCCAGTAATTAATAAACCGTCACGTTGTGTAATAACGTCCACTCACTTGTTCAAAAAGCTAGAGTAAGATGATCGAACTGGAACCAACCTGAAGTGCTTATTTCCAGTGGCTTAATTAATTGTAATGTAAAAACGGAACATTCTGAATCCATAAACTGGGATTGGGAGAAAGAAGAACAAAAAGAACCCTAATTCCATGAAAAGTTCACAGCCAGCATGATGCCAGGAAGTGTTCTATTTACCAATGTTGTAGTTGAGGACTTTTTTTTCGAGTACAGAGTACTGCCGAGTACTTAAATTTCCAAGTACCTGAAATTCTGAGTACTTTACCAGCCGAGTACAAGAAGTAATTTTCAACTACGAGTATTTTCAACTACGAGTACTTTAAGTCTGGGTAAATAGTCAAATTTGTTTAAAATGTTTAAATGAATATGAACAATGGATCTACAAACTTTTTTGCAACTGATTGTTTTATTAAATTTGCCATATCATTCCAGAATCAGTAGTATGTTTAGGTAAAGTTGTAGATTATATTTAGTTCCAAAAGTGTGTACGTGTAATAAATTTAGACTTCTTGACAAAACACAGGAAGTACAACATTTAAATGGCAAGAGACAGATCATCAGTTCTGATGCACCAACGACAGCAAAAGCATTGACTCAGAGGTAAAATGTAAAAGCATCAAGAAGAAGCAAATGCCATTGATGCATGGCCCAATTTCACACAGCTGCTTAAGTGCAAAATTTGCTGAAGTGCCAAAAAGCTTTGCTCAAAGACACAGGTTATCAGCTAAACCGCTGTGTGATTGTCATGCCAACCAAAAAACCAAAAACATGTAAATAACATGGAGTTGTGATTGGTGATCTGTGCTTAAACGTGGCCATGTACAATGTACTGTACTCCGAGTAGTGATGCATTATGCAAGCACAACGCTTAAATGTGGATGGGTGAAGTCTGGCTTCCAGACTTCATATTCCTTTGCCCGTGTTTTTCTATATTCTAGATTCTATATCAGATCCGGGAACCAGACCAGCTACAACTAAATTGAGTGTTACTAGTCTTGGACCCAAGATGCCTTTCGCGTTGCTGCAATCCATTATTGCATGCAGTGCGTGGTGTACGTGTACTTTACAAGGCGACACACAGTGACAGTGCCCCTTCCAGCCGCTATATCTGATGATGGTTCATGTTGCGGAATAAACAGGAAGGTCTTGGAACCAAGACTAGGAATACACCGGCGTTTTGCGTTCGTAATTGGCTAAGACGGCGACCTTGTGTTTGTCAAACCGTACCAAATATCTGTCTGTGAGGATGGATACCGTTATATTTCAATGGCCTTGACAGGATTTAAAGGGTTTTTATCAAGCACTGTTAATTGAGTACGAGTACCTCGATGCTTGAGTGCAAGTTTATTCCGAGTATTTTGCAGCCCGAGTACAAGGACTGTTGTTCGAGTACGAGTACTTGGAAATTCAAGTACAAGTAAGAAACGAGTACTCTGAAAACGGTGCTCAAGTAGTACCCGAGTATGAGTACTGAGAACGAGTGCTACAACACTGCCGTTTACAAGATGGCTGCCAATATCTCTCTGCCTTTAGTACAAGTCTTAATCGTTCACAGACTACATTCCCTTTAGGACATAATTTGCCACTAGGTCAACAGCAGTTGCAGAGTTCTTACCTTGTTGAGATCTCCTGTAGACCCCCTGAAGGATGGCAGCTGCACGGAAGAATGAGAAGGCCAAGTAGAAGTCCAGGTTCTTAATGGGGGGGATACCCCTCCGCTGGCAGTACTGGGTGACAAACTCCTCCATGGTGGGGATTCCCAGTTCAGTGACGTCCAAACCGTGAAAACCTAGAGGCCCAGGATGGAAGGTCAAATGGATATTACCGTGAAGGGATGGGATTTTTGGCACAGCTGACAATCCCCATAGCAAGGTTGAAGTCAAGTACTTTCCCTGAACTTTGTTCACAACCAAATATTGAGCTATTAAGTTGCTAGATGGCACACAGTGAGGCCAGCAAATGTGTGGGCCAAAGTGAATGGACAAAGTCGTTTACATTCCTAGATACAAAGTATGTTTGATTAAGTTTCATCAGAATGAGAACAAATCAGCCAGTTTTCCCATGGGTGCTTGATAAAGTTTCATCAGAATGAGCACAAATCAGCCAGGTTTTCCATGGGTGCTTGATGAAGCTTCATCAGAATGAGCACAAATCAGCCAGGTTTTCCCACGGGTGCTTGATGAAGTTTCATCAGAATGAGCACCAATCAGCCTGGTTTTCCATGGGTGCTTGATGAAGTTTCATCAAAATGTGCTTACATCAAGTCTTCCCATGAGTGCTAGGTGCACTCCAGTATTGTAGTAAATAAGCTGTCTTTCTTCTGGCTATGTTTCTAAGCCTGTGGTATAATTTTAATCAATATTTATCCCAATGTCAAACACCAAATTATAAGCAAAGCGACCCCAATCATCACCATTAAAATCAAAACATACATGGTACTGTAACCACCTACCTCACCACACTAACCCCCATAACTACACCACTAATTTCCATCTTCACCATCATCAGCAACATCATCATCACCTGCAACACTATCAGTACCTTTGAGAAGGGGGAACTTTGGTGAGAGATAGTAAGGCATGCAGCAGTAAGCTAGGTCCGACAGCGGGTCCCCGATGGTGGACAGCTCCCAGTCCAGCACACTGATCACCTCCGATTTGTTGGGATGAAGAATGAGATTATCCAACCTGGACAAGAGCCAATCAGAAATCCTTGTCAAAATGACAACTGACCGTGTTCTGGGCCTAATTTCTGGGAGCTGCTCAATCTCAGTTGGGAACTTGTAAGCTCTAAACACTTCATTAGTGTCTGGTTTAAGCCTGTGACAGATTTCCAGATTACCAAATATGACCAGTCTGCTATGCCATTTCCAATTGTATAGTTTCATTACACGGAACTGCTGCATATTCCTGCACCATCTATTTGAGTAGGGGCCACAAAAATTTAAGTGACAGTTGAATAATCAATATTTACATGAATGGGAAATGTTTGTGCTTAAGAATGAGGAGACATTGAACAATATGACAGATTCTAATGAGAAGCACACTCACAAAGCTCCCCCCCCCGAGAAATGATGGAAGTGTTGTGAGGGCTTTTGATCACAACCAACATGACAGAGCACTAATATGCCTACTTGATAAAAATGGCAGCATCCAAAACTGGATTTGAGAGTTATAGCTATGTCTATTGTCAACCTGTGGTCATGTATTTGCTATCAGCAAAGCCCTAGATCTAGTCCTGAATGCAAGATTCAGATGTGACCATAGACGGTACTGCGCTAATGGGGGGGAGGGGGCTGTGGAGGCAAAAGGACAACGTCGTGTTCGTTCTGGTATATACTGCAAATCTTATTGGCTCAATTCATCATGCCGTACGCTGGAGTTGGGGATTTGGGAAGATTTACAGCCTCAGATCCACTTTGTCCAACCCACCTGAAGTCGCCGTGGACCACAGAGACCATTTCTGTCTCAGGCAAATGCTGTGGCAGCCAGTCCATCAGTTTAGTCATGCTGGGAATGTCATGAGTTTCACTGGCTTTGTACTGCTTGCTCCAAACTGCGATTTGGCGAGACACATACTTCCCTGTTCACAAAGGAAAACTGTTTGAGATTAATTGAAACAACAAAGACCACATGACCGAGAAAACTATCACCTGTCTGACCCTGCATCTTTATGACGTTGTGCCAAGACTGGGTATTCTAATGCTAAAACCAAAGATCACGGCCACAGGCAACGATGTCTATCTCAGAAACAATACTAAAGGCTGTTTTATAACCTTGTTTCTAGACCTAGGTTTCAGTCTTCAAAGGTGGCAACATTGGATGTTGCTCCAGCTGAGATTTGATTGGTAACTGTTGCAAGTAAGAAATAAAACGTGGCTGTGAGTCTGTTACCCTGCTTGCCGAAGCCCTCCAGGCCAGCTTGCTTTATATCCACGCTGTGGATACGACACAGGGCGTCACACATTGCACTGTACACCTCCCGCCGCTCCGAGGGCTGCATGCTGGGCAGGCTAGGTTCCTTGTAGATGCGACCTTTGACCAGGTCCATAAGATAGAAAGGTGTCCCCACGATACTGGAGGAGGGTGGGGGAATATAACACAAAGGCTCATTTGCAAGTTATTCTACTCTTCATTTTTAGAAAGACGCCTTCCCGAAGCTTCCAAAATTCTCCATTATGCTAGAAACATACTTTTCAAGTGGCACTAAGCCCCGTATCAAGTAACATGGTTTGGCTGTTTGTTCTTAAATATTAAAAATCTTCTTAAACCTTCTGGAGGATTTTAAGGGAACTGAAAAGTTATTGGTGTTGGGGGTTTCAAAGGTGAAATCACTTCAAGGGCACTAGGATATATCCCTCCATGCATCTTGAGGAATGTGGAAAATTTAATTACTTGCAAAATTTTTGTATTTAAAAATGAAATCACCCTCTTTTGGTGAGGGGATGCAAAACCTAAATCGAAATGTAGTCCCAATTGCTTGAATAATTACTCAGAATAACAATATGTCCCGAAAACATCTGCTGAAAAATTCTAAAAGGACCCAGAAGTTTAACTAGGACAAAGAATACTTCATCTTTCATTTGATACAATCAGAAAAAATAGACTAAACCCAATCATGATGTCAAGTGCAATACACATGACAAGAACATGACAAGAGCTAAAAAATGGTAAACCGCTTTTCCCTGGTACCCACCTGTCATCCTCACAGAGTGCCAGGAGGTCGGGAACTGGTACCCCAGCACCCCCAAGTGCCTTCATGACCTGGTGCTCTCTCTCGACGGCGTGGGCCGAGGGGAGAAGTTTACCCGGCGGCTTCTTGCGCAGTACCATGTCCCTGCCTGCGTAACCGACGTAGTATGTGGGGTTGGATTGGCCATGTTTGAACTGACGGACGTTGAGGGCGCTGTCATCACTGGTCCTAATTACACAGAAATCTAAACGTCTAATTTTTCATATTCAATTCTTAATTAATACTCCTCTGGCAATTGGATGAGACAACCCATGAAAGTCTTTTGACTTATTTCCAATCAGGTCCCTTCGTAAAAAAGACATAAAATGCAATAAGCCTATTGCAAGTTAAATTTGAATAAAACTTGGTACACCAAGTTCTTTAAATTCACATGAACATAACAATTTGAATTCGCCATACTAAAGACACTGTTGCAATAACTTGCAATTCGCGGCAACCTTTTGCATAATTACGTAACATATGCCTTACGCCCGTAACAGTTTTAATGGATAAGATGGGCACAAAGGAACCAGTCCATTTCAGAGATGGTGGTCACAATGCAAAAGCTTGCCCCGAATCACAAGGTATAACAACAGTGTCTTTAGTCTGGGGATTTCAAATTGTTATGTTTATGTGCATTCAGACAACTCAGTGGATACCAGATTTTATTCAACTCGCAAAAGGCTTATTGACTTGCGAAGATTATCAAGAAATGTTTGGTTTCAGAAGGTGGGAAGAAAACCCCAGACAAGTAGAAAATTCACAGGATCAGGTAGGAACTGGAAACCCAATCCACACACACCTAAGTGGGATTTGAATCATGGGTGCAGAGCTGAGGGGGGTAACCACTGCACCAACCTAATTCCCTTTGTTGTTTTGTGGACTATTTGTGCAGAAAAGATGACAATGCTATAACCTGACTACCCCAAAAATTGACTATACGCTGACAACTCGATTTGCAGCATGTTGGTGGATTCTTACACTGGGTTTGATGTTCTAGTTTATAGAAAGAATGCACCATTGGGCAACTGCAGCAATTTCATGAGGGTTGTTTGCAGATGAATCCTGGTGAAAATAAATGAGGGGCCAGGAAGAATACTAACACAGCGTCATGTAAAGCCTCCAATTTCAATATGGGAGTTACAATTGAGGAAAGTGCTTTTCCAGTCCTAGTAAAATAATTATGTGTCACCTGAAGAGCTCAGTTGATGGGACTGTACTTTTAAATGGCATCTAGTACATGGTTTATGCTAAATAAGAAATCCAGATGAATTTCAGTCAGATTTACCCTATATTGATTGAGTTGAGGTATGCTCGGAGTGAGTCTGTGGGTAGCTCAAGGCCTTTACGGACTGCTGTTGTGCCTTCCACGAAACAGTGCACAGGAAAGCCGAGTGTCTTGGCAAGTTCAGAAAGTGCTTGCTGTGTGTCATCAACCTGTTGAGAATGTCCAGCAGATCAAAATAGGAACCTGACAGATAAACCTGAGTGAAATTAATATCCAACTTGAGGTAGCGTATAGCAGGGTGTCGCCCTCATCAAGGTATACATGACATTTGAAGTATATTGCTAAATAAAATGGACAGGTTATACAGGCCTCCGCAAGATGAGTCCAAAGCTGGTACCTCATTGGGGTATATGAGAGGGGGGTTTACTCTCTAGGAAGATGAATTTCTCACCTGAATACTATCAATCCCCATCTTCCTAGCCCCCTTCACATTCTCTTTAAGATCATCCAGGAAGACGGTCTTTTCTGGCTTCTCCTTGAGTTCATCAAGGCAAAGCTGATAGATGGCGGGGTCAGGCTTGGCCATGCCCGCTCGGCAGGACTCAACCACCTGTTGGACAAACAATTCATGAGATACGATTTCTGTGCATGTACATGTATGAATAAGGCTGCTGTGTACGATATGCCTACAGCGTCATACTCAAGGACCCTTAAGACCATCACATGACTCATGTCTGAACTCAAGTCACAAGCAGTTCAAATGATCTGTGGAAAACAAGTAAAACCAATTGAGAAAGCAGGAATACTGAAGAAACAAGACAATGCCTCAGTAATTTCTCAAGTAATTGTCACATTAGTCTGTAATCAAAGAGTTAGTGATGTCGTAATTAAGCACCGCTCTGTGGTCTCACCGCATCAAATAGGTCCTTGTCCACTGGAAAGAGGGAAGTCACTGACCCCTCGTGCTTCCAGTTGTTGGTCAGTATGGCCGTCTTGAGCCCCTCTGCCCGGATGCATCGGATGGCGTCCACCATCTCGGGGATGGGTTCGGCTGCGTGGGCCTCATAATAGGCCAGAAGCCCGGATGTGTCCACGTCATAACCCAGCTGTTAACAGACAAACACACGTCACGGGTTTTTCCTTGTCACAAATGCGGGAACCTTTTTCAACAAATTGGGTTACAAGATGCAAAATCTAAGTCAAAAATTTGCTGAAGAATTTTGCTCATTCGGGAACAGAACAAATGTACAAGCAAGTCCAAGCTTCATTACTGGTGTAAAATGGAATATCACAATATTGAACATGAAATCTTCCTCCTCACAAACTACACTAAGGGTAAATTATTACATGTATGGAATGCCTTTTAAAGTCTTTCAACTTAACAAAATATCAAGAGGAGTACATTCTTTTATGTCGACTTATGCAAATTTGCACGATCATTAAGTGGAAGGACTGGAGACTGTTCCAACCATGCAATAAAAGCAGACCTTCCATATATTTTGTCACTGTCAGCAAAACTAATGGTTTGTCTTGTACATTCCCACAAAAAAGAGCTTGGACTTGTTTGGAAACAGATCATTTTACTGAGGGTGATGAACAGCCTATTAAATAACACATTGAACAGGCTGAATATTGACGCAAGCCAAGAATAGGCCCTCCACTATAAAATTGGAAACACTTGACATCCCATGCTCAGGTGTGCATATTAGGTTTGTGAAAATCAGGCCTCGACAGTAATTTTTTTAACCACTTGTCCATCGGGCAAGTAACTCTGAAAAATTTACTTGCCCGAGGTAAGATTTTACTTGCCCAAACCCTGGTTTAGTTACTCATTGCTTCCCGGGACAGTAGATTCCTTCTTTGGCACAATACGAAATAAATATACATCACCCCCAACTATTGCATGTGTGCGGGGAGTGCGCAGGACTCTAATGCATCATTCATACAATTTGGGCAATGGCTATTTCTTAACCACTGGACGATTTTGCCTGGTGTCACATATGCAAAAAGTACACACCCAAAGTACCAGGCAAAAGTCACTGATGTTGAAGTCACAGCCAGATGTAAAATGGTCTTTGAGCTTTCGAAAGCTCCGCTGCGCCACACGTGCAAAAACCAATGAGGTTTGGTACCCAGACACAATACAGTTTGTGATACATGCATTTTCCCTTGTGTGGAAAGGTGCCCGGCTAAATGTACAGCATGCTTAATACAAACAAGTGTACACGTACGTAATAATGCAAATAATCATACTGTTTACCACTTTTGATAAGCTTTTGTAAGGGGGGAAAAACAACTCAAAGGTAACTTTACTGACTGTTATTCTTGGCAACTAAAAACAGACACTTTTATTTCAAGAAAAAAGTACCAGTCCATCGGGCAATTTGTCCTTAATTTTTAATTGCCAGAAAGAAGAAATTGCTTGTCCCGGGCAATCGGACAACTGTTAATGTCGAGGCCTGGTGCACATTTAGCTGAAAATCCTCACATATTCCATGCCATATATTTGTGAAGCAATGGATACAAGCAATCACTAGCCTCACAAAGGGGATACTTAAAGCATCGTTCCTTGCCACCTGTGCTCTGGTCTCATCCTCGATCTGGACTTGGAGTTCTAAGGAAACCCACAGCTTTGTGCTGTTTGACTAATTTATCTAAACCCATGGAATACTCCCTCCAGAATATGATGCCTTGGAAGCCTGGCGAGCGGTTGCACATGCATTGTCTTTCTCTGCCTCTTGAGCACTGACAAAATGGCACCATTCCGAAGTGTATCCATGGAATGACCGCAGGGGCCAAAAAACATTCTGGGGTATAACTAAGCCCTCTTCCCACCCCATCATGACTACCTGCTGAGAGCACTCCTTGCTGAACTCTGCGTCAAACTCATCCGCTGTGATCTCTCCTCGATTGAGCCTCGTCCATGCCCCTGATTGGCCAGTCCTTCGGATCACCTCCAGGATGGTGTCAGCAGGAAGACCCTTTTGCACCTCAAAATCTGTAGAGTCCACAATTTTCAAAAAGAACCAAACATTTCAGAATTACAAAATCTGATTGGCTGATGATGAACATAAATATAGTCCAGACTGGGACCCAATAATAAATGTACGCAAAAACACCTCTGGATTACCCCCAACTACTCCAACTATTCTTCTACAAACTAAGCATGTCCTCTATTGACTCAGGTTGCAAAAATGCACAGGGGCTTCAAATGCACCAGTCTGTGGGACAAGGGTAGGATTCCAGGGTAAAGAGGCATCAGCATTACTTAGTTATAGCTGAGGAAAACAAATACAAAGAAGCTAGACAGGAAATGGATGAGACCACTAGTTGGCAATTTCACTTGACACATGTGTTATTACATAAGCCAACAACTGTCCTTAATGTAGGGCTTATACAGTAAGGTCAAATAAGCAAAGTGCAGTTTATCCCCAGCTTTTTCTAAACAGAATTGGAACAAAACCAAACAAAGAACAGACAAGAAATCTTTCTTTTTTTTATTTGGGTTAAGTAAAAGAAAAAAGGAAAGAAAAAAGTTTCTGAAAAGAAAGTTATCATGCTTACAAAAAGCCCCCCAAAACGAAATGTCAAGTTTCAGGAGTCTGGCAAATTGACCCAATCTACACGATCTATAACACCAGAATGTTACCTTTGAAGATTGGCCCTGGTTTTGCGATGAGAACACCTCCCAGGTCGAATATAACCGCCCGTTTCTGAGCAACGACTGCGGACGTCCTGAGACCTCTGCACAACTCCGGCAGGACCTGCAGACCTCGGTGCCTGGCGGCATGGGACTTATCCGGACGAAGACAGGCATGACAGAGAAGGCGGCAAGCTGCGGCAGCTTTGAGAAGCCTCATTTTGCTGACTTCGACTTCAGCTAATTTACTGAAGACTGGCAACGCTAATAATCGCCTACTTCTCCTGGCCTGGGACAAAAACAACACAGCCAACTATATTTGATGTATTTATGTACTTACAAGTACTTGATGTAAACTCCATGCCTTTAGAAGAGGTTTTACCCATAGTTCATGAAAACAATAAACTTGTTACAACTCCATTTTGTTCTGGTATGAATGTTAGTACGTAAGCAACTTAATCGTTTGAGAAATTCAACTGCACCAAAACCTCCGCTAAGTAATATAGAGGGTGTCAAAACCAAATCTTACTTTTTCTTAGTGTCAATTGACACATCTTTAAAACTTAGGTCCTTGTAAAATGAAACGACAAAGAAAAGAGCTACGTATTAGCGGCCAGTTTAGTGTTCCAGCTGTGGATTTGTGGATTTAAAACTTACCAAATATCTCGGTGGCAGCATGCAGGTGCGCCGCGGCGGTTTGTCGCAGACCCAGCGGAACTAAAACCTTACATTTTAATCATGGAGGTAGATTTTAATGCATAAAATAAATACAAAAATTCCAACATTTCGGTTCTTATATTATCACGTAGACGTAAGTGAAATAACTATGGCGCAAATTCACAATCACTGGGAACCTCAGTTTGGGAAATTTAACCATATGTAGCTGACATACCCAGGCCCAGAGAAGGAAAATAAGAAAACTCAGCACGAATTTTACAAGATGAAAAATAAAATGGCAGAAATACCACTCAACAACTACGTTCACAAAACTGGGAGGCAGCAAGGAAAAAAACATAAACAGTTTCGTCAAATCCCATCCTCTACTCAATTAAGGCAGTTGGAAGTAGTACAGTTTCCCATCAACCGATAAGGATTGGAATGCGTTGCCTGCAAAATTTCTTGCACTTCACTGGAGACATTTAAAGATGGGTTAGCTATAAGTTTTATAAAAAATAACACGTTTGGACGATCCACGCAATGCACAGGCTGGTGCATTTATCAGATCCACAACCATACCCCAGCAGTGGTTTAAGAATGTCCGAGGTAAGTGCGGTGCCACCCTTGTCTGTCTATGGCTAGGGATACCAAAGTGCAATAGAAGCTTATACTGTAATTAAGCCATAGCCAGAAACTCTGCAATGAACTTTGGCCAGGGTGGTGATGAGGGCTTAACGTAGGATAGTACTATACATGCGTTTCGAAAAGATGGCAGAGGAAGTCGAGAGTTTGGAGAAGCTTTTGGAGGAGCATTTGCCTGCCGACAAATTGGCTGAGGCACGGCGAATCATCTATGGCCAAGACGGGAAAAACTCCAGGTATTTAGTGTCATTCATAGAGCACGCGTCACCAAAGTTTTGCTTTAGGCCTAACCTTTATTAGTACATGTACTTCAACAGACCTAGTTACTCGGATCGGAGTCGGACCAAGTTGTTACGTGATCTGACTCTGATCCGATGCCGAGTAACTTGGACCATAGCGAGGACGTGACTTGGTGCTTGTCATACAATGTACGATCTCCTTTCTTACTTTGGGGAGGGCCTGTAATTAATAAACATAAAAGCTATATGCTGTAACTGTTCATACCGCCAACAGGCAACATGGCAAATGGACCGTGTCATGATAATGGGGAGTTTGCAGTTTCCTAAATCAATTAATTTTAAAGGGCCTGTTTGTTTCACATGGATCTGGATTTTGGTCAGTGATCCAAACGCTGGTTTGCACCATGTGTTAGTGGGTTTTGGTGTTCGTAAACCAATGACCATGATGACGGATCAGTGATCATGATCAAGATCCATGTGAAACAAACACGGTCGAAAAGTACTAGTTGCATCATTATGACAGGTGTATGGGTCATAGATTAAACTGAAAGGAATTGAAGGAAGTGTTCCAAAATTTACTTAAATACCCCCACCAGAATTGGTCAGTAACACCAACATTTTTGAAAATAACTACCCAGTTGTGTTTGGCATTATATAAATGCTTGGCACAGTCTGTCAAATTACAGATTTATTTCAGTAAAATGGGTGGGGGAAAAGCAGAAAGTAGGCCTACCCGTGAACACTTTGAGTCACCACAGAAAACCTGAACTTTCTTTCCGTGTATTTCATGAAGATTTTCAGATGACGGTCTTGACATTGAAGGTTGTACCAAGCATTTGTAGAATTCTAAATACAAGTGGATGGTTGCTTTTAGAAGATTTTGCTGTTCAAAACCGATTTTGGTGGGGGTATTAAAGTAAAATCTGTCAGTTCTAAATTCATTAAAACTTCATTATGAAGATCCCCTGTTCATTTCAGAATCATAACATTTCTTTCCAGACCCCTGGATTTACCAGAGGCAGCCAGTGCCCTAGCAAAAGAGCGTAATTTTGAATTGGTGGGGTATTCCATCGCCGCCAAGCCTGAGCAGTTACGCCCTCCTCGCATCGTTCGTATTGGTCTTGTCCAAAACAAGATTGTTTTGCCTACCACTGCACCTGTCAAAGACCAGGTTATGAGCATTTTTTTCTCATGTCATACTGTAAACTAACCCAAGACTAGGACAAGTCTACTGGACTACCTTCGTATCTTTTGTCTGTATACACCCATAGGCAAACAGTCCTAGCTTCAGTTACGTTTTTTTTTCCATGTCAGAAGAGCCCTTTTATTTCATGCATTTTTCATCCCTTGTCCTCATCTGCCTCTGTATTTCCTTGAATTAAGTTAAGTTCCTTTGATGTTTGATTTTATTTTCTTACTTTTAGATGGCACATCTTGTTTTCTTACGCCTGTATTTTCTCTGATGAGGTCAAATAAATAGAAATACACGTAATTGTAAGAGTCCTTTAAACTACATTGGTTTGGGAATGGATTTGCTGCTTTTGTATCATTTCCCCCCGGCAGGTGGCTGCCCTGCACAGCCGCATTGAGGAGATAGCTGAAGCTGCTGGTCTGTGTGGTGTCAATGTCATCTGCTTCCAGGAAGCATGGAGTAAGTAGGAAGACAAAGAAAATAAAGAGGCTGTGTATTGTATTGTATTGTATTGTAGCTATGATTTGACATCACAAAAGTAATGTGGCATTTTACGTTTTCTTCAAGTATGAACTTGGCGTGAGATGATTGTGGTTGAACATACACTTCATTCGGGACAATAGAAAAAGTTGCGAAACATCGCTGTCACTAACAAACATACCATCACCACTTCTGCAGTGTTGTACGTTCAGGTGTATTCCTCTCAAGTGTGTACATCAGTTGTGCTCATTCAGTTGAAAATTGGTAGTACAAATTCAGCATTGCTATTATGTAGGAACTAGCGCACTTGAACCATACCCAGGCTGCTGTTCTTTTGACCTGGGGTTGGGCTTGTCATCTCTTCCATGAGCTAAGTGAGTAGGCCTATGTGTACATGCATTTTCATTTGCGCGAGGCATTTCTGCTTACCGCGCACTCTGCATAGCCGCCTCAGCTGTGAGTGAGGTATACAGCCCAATCAGTAGATCTGTAGAGCGTCCATTAACAAATGCCCAAAGAAATTTCAATGTGGCAAATGAGGATCTCGCCTGCTACAGATATGCCGTTTGCCTTCTGTACCCGAGAGAAAACCCCATGGTGTGAGTTTGCCGAGTCGGCCGAGGATGGACAGACCACCAAGTTTTGTCAAGAGGTAGGGAAAAGTACGCGGAGCCTAAATTCTTTACACCTTTCAACTTACATCTAACAAAAGTGGGAGAACAATCAAAGATGAAAAATTTCTTTAAATGGTTCCAAGGGATTGGCTAATGACATTATGAGGACAAAAAGCATTCACATACATGTCTGTGCATACATGAAGTTATCTATTCTGTGACTTTCCAAAATTCTAACGATTTAACACAATTTAAAAGAGTCATAGAAGAGGAGGACAGAATTTCACTGTGGTTAATACAAGATGTAAAGAAATATAGATCTTGAATACTTAAAATAAAATGGACAAGAAATCAAGTCCCACCCCCTTAAAAAAATTTATCCAGAATGAAAAACCCAACACGGTGCCAAATGCAAATTATTGTGTTGGGCAGTCTGACAGAAAATCCAACTAATTCCAGATGGCAAGTGGAGACTTGGATTAACACGTCCCGGCGTGAAGGGGTTAACAGATGATGTTCATCCTTGTTTGGGATCTTTTATAATTGCTTGTACAATTTTTGCATTCTTCAATCAGCTAGCAAAGCGCCACAACATGGTGGTACTATCACCCATACTGGAGAGAGACGGTATCCATGGAGATGTCCTCTGGAACACTACAGGTATGAAAATACTTTCTATGTCAACTTTGATTTCGTTTAACCCTCCTATTTCTCGGCTTTGATTTAGTCTTGATGTAACTCTACAGATCCTTGTAGCAGTGGGTGAAAACTCACCTGAGCTATTGCTATTCTTAAATGCTGTAGGGGTTTTATCTAAGTGGGGTTCCGTCAGTGTTGCAGAAGAACCCATCATAAGCCTCTTTGGAAGTCCTTTCACAAGTCCGATCACAGATCCGTTCACAAGACCAGTCATAAGTATCAGGGTGAACAGTGATGAACAAATGTTTATTTCTAATGACGGGTATTTTCATAATGCTGTTTGCTCAGTGTTTAAATATACATGAACGTCGATGTAAGGGCAAAACCCATTGTTTGAAATGAACACCTCGATGCATAGTACATTTTGAGACGAAGAAGTGCGTTTTTCACAGGTTCAGTTGAATAGCTCGTGACTCAACTTTCTGTATTAAAGACTGGATGACGAGTGACGGGCTCAACTGCAACACTGGTTCCCACACTGCATACCCCCTTAGGGATAGGGATAGGTTTCAGCCATGCCAGATGAAGTTCTTTGTTCAAGCCTCTTCGGCTTGCAAGTTTTGTGTGACACTTCCTAGGTAGAAACTATATATAGACATTGTTACCCCCGATGGGACAGATTATACTAATCCCCGGAAGCTTCCCATTGTCTTTGGTAGTCGTGATCTCAAACAGTGGAGCAGTGATGGGAAAATCACGCAAAAATCACATTCCTAGGATCGGAGACTTCAATGAGGTAATTTGGGCTTAGTGAACTTCATTTGCATTTAACAAAGCACCGTAATTTTATTAATGAGAAAAATTAAACTATGTTGGAAGGTTTTTCACTGGTGATGAAATAGTTTGGGCTTGGTCTGAGTAAACACTTCTCCTCTGTCGTCATGTGCCTGATAGCAGGGCAGTCAGCCAGGTTGGGTTTTTTTTTTCACACAGCTCACAATGCAACAAAGGATTTAGTTACGTCCTCCAGCCTGGCAACAGACAATTATTTGGCGTGTGAATGTAATAGTGAAAGAGCTTGAATAGTTCTAAAGGAAATGACCATGACCCCTTTCAAGAAGACGAAACTCTACTTGATGAGTTCTTAGTTGGGCTTTAATAGAGATCCGTCTATGTACGCACAAATACTTGTGGCTAAGTGGACTATCAATAACCCATCATTTTAATGGTCTTTCTCTTCTCGGTCGTCAGTGATGTTCTCCAGTAATTTTTCCTTGGAGAAAAAAAGTTACTCCCAAAAATTCCATGCCTTTTGTAGCAGGTTATTTAGCAACTTACCGTTCCTCAGTTTATCTGAACCTTCTGCTTTCTGCTGTTCTAGTCCACTTACTATATGGAAGGCAACACAGGACACAGAGTGTTTGACACACAGTTTGGTGAGTATGACTCTAAGCCCCCAAACTCTGTGCATGAACCAAAGAATGAAAGGCAAGGTTAGGCCTTGCCCAGATGAGCATTGTTAGTGGCACCAGCTACTTTCTGTAACATGCTGTTAGCAGAAACACTGAAGTCATAGCCACATAGCCAAGTGTCCAATATAGATTTGGCATTAAGAACCATGTGGACTGGCAACCTGTTACCTAACTGTTCTTGGGTAACGTTTGAAAGTGCATCTGGATAGGACACAGATAGAAGAGCACCATGCTGAGGAAAACAAAGAGAGAATAGTCAAATTTCTGTAGCTATGTAAGCATCAAATCAGTATAGCCATTATACCGAGACTTAATGACAAACACCACTTTAGAACTGGTGGCCAGCCCAATATACTGCATTTTATTTATTTTTTATTTATTTATTTATTTCATTTCTCGGGAAACACAGGTAAACAAGATAGACAGTAAAATATAAATGTACATGATGGAACAAAGGACAAGACTCAACCAGTCCCTGATGGATAGCCCCCCCCCCCAAAAAAAGATTCCTGTCTAGGGGCTCTGCATGTATAACCTCAAGGGGAACATAACTTCGTAACCTCTTGCCCCTAGCTACCCAGACTCCTAGCTAGTCCATGGGGTCACATTCTACCGACTGGCCACCTCCCTCATTATGTAGCAACTTTCCACTGAATAATATATTATTCTCTCTGCATTTCTGTCTGCTTCAGCTTATCTCTATATAGGCACTGAGCATAATGGAAAGTTTGTCTGGCCTCAAAGTGAAACTTACATTCACTATATCAATTAATCTAGCACTACAATTTAGTCAAACCTACCTAATCGATATACAAGAAAATAATCAATTCTTTGTAATGAGAATCGTGAATTTTCCCCAGAAACTTTGCAGTCAAAACCCACATTTCCCTGGCAGTGCAAAGTATAATTCATGACTTTCCATGAACAAATAGCGTATTTGCGAGACAAAATATCATGTCCGATCTATGCAAAAGCTATTTAAAATATTACATTCAATATTACAATCGCAAAACAAAATCAATCATGTCAGTCAGTAATAACATTTCATCAATTAATTTCATTCAATTATCAGTCAATTTATAACTTGGGAAGAGAATAATAAAATTGGACTAATTCAGTCAACATATTAACAGAAATAAAGTTTCTGGAAACTATATCTAAAAGAAAGAAATCAGCTCATGCCTGTATTGAGGATGTCCTAATTGGACATCAGACATCCATTGGCAAAAATCATTGGCAAAACATATGAAAGTAATCAGGCACACTCACAGGCGCTCCCTGCTGTCTTTGGTCTATTCCACTTTTTATGGGGGGTGTTTTCTATAGAAATTTCCCTCTAGAGGGGCTTCAGAAACCAATCCATCCATTGCATATATACAACTTGCCTCTGATCAGAAGCCAGTCATGATGTTGGAGATTATGCTGCTGTGCCAGTTCGCAACCCAAGTGATATCATCATGCTTTAAGAGTCGTTGGAGTGTCCAATTACAGGATTCATTTTCTGGGAGCCCCTACCAACCGGGCATTTAAACAGGTTGCTTGGCTGGGAGCAGACCTCTGAACCAATTGAAAACTAACTCAAAACCCAGTTGTTGTTTTTCCATCCAATACAACAATTTTGCTCTTGTAGGTCGCATAGGTGTCAACATCTGCTACGGTCGTCATCATCCTCTGAACTGGTTCTTGTACAGTCTGAACGGTGCTGAGATTGTGTTCAACCCGTCAGCTACTGTTGGAGCACTGAGGTAATGGATTAGGACTTACAGTTGGATGACAGGTGTGTAGGTTATAGGACATATAGTTGGATGACAGGTGTGTAGGTTATAGGACATACAGTTGGATGACAGGTGTGTAGGTTATAGGACATACAGTTGGATGACAGGTGTGTAGGTTATAGGACATATAGTTGGATGACAGGTGTATAGGTTACGGATTCAAACCTGGTGCAAAATGTGGCCTTTGTCATGAGTCCAGGCTGCGTTTGCATGTGAGTTGCTCTTGATGCATAGGGGTGCAGCAAAATATTGCTTGCGCGTTACTCTCGGATTGCATTGCGTGCATCAAGAAAGGTAACCTTTCTGCCATCTTGAAATAACTGCATGACGCTCTCACTTACCTGTGGATCAGATGCCTGATTTTCATGCACTCAGATGTATACTCGCTTCAGTATGAGTAACACACTCGAATGCAGCCTGGAACAGATGTTCTTTAAAACAAAATAAGATCTCTGAAGAATTTCTTGTACGAACAAAACATGAAGTTGTTCCACTTGTTTACTCAACAGTGAGCCAATGTGGCCCTTGGAGGCACGTACCGCGGCCATCGCCAATACTTACTTCACTGCCGCTATCAACAGAGTGGGCACGGTGAGTTGTCTGTCGCGAGGCTTTGCTGGTGAACCTGAGTGGCATTTTGAGATGTTACTGGATTTTAGTATATGTGACTCGCGCTGAAAAAAGGCACATTATACTGCAAAAATTAAAAATGAGTTATTTCTTTCAGGAGATTTGACATTTTTTTCATATAGTTAGTTTGATGGAATTCAATTTAAACCAACTAAGAAAATAGGCTTTGAAACAGTCAAGTTTAATAGAGACTTAGGCTTGGAAGACTCACTGAAAATCTCCTTAGTAACCAACTTGTTCCTTTTGAGCATTTTTGTTCATAAAACCTGAAACTTAAGAGATTAAGAAAGTTGCTTTTCACAAAAAGTAAAACCTGAAATTCCACAAGACGTTTTACCCTCTCAACTGTGAGCGAGCCATCATGCAGATAGGCAAAGCGTGACTAATGTCACCTTCTGGAGCGAGCCACAGGGCCAGGACTTCCTCAAAGTTTCCGCAGCGCTTCAAATTGCGACGTTTGGAGAATCCGTTGGAGAGAAAAATGAAGCAATGTGAGAGTTTGTTGAAGAGTAAATCGAAACTGGAGGTACTGCTGTCCGAGAAATTTGTCATAAAATGGGATGAAAATTGAGCGCATGCATCAGTGCTGCAGGCAAGTCAAGCAGTGGAGTGTATCTTTCGCCCACTCAACAATCTTTTCCCACCCCAAAGATTATAGCCTCAGGTGCTCATATGAATCTGGTGGTAGTAATTGCAGCGGACAACCATCTCGTCATGTGCACATGAGCATGTACTCAATTTGCGTGTTCCAACTTGCCGTGGGCTAAATGCAAACTTTGGAAGGGGAGCGCCACGTTTTAATGCAGTCAAAATTTTCTTGAGGATGATCAGAGCAGTGTATGGAGAGAGGGGGAGATATTTGAGTGGGAGAGTGCACCCTTGTAAACATATTTAGTGTGTATCTATGTAGGTAATGTCCAATTACCAAGGGCAAAACCCGTTATATAAATGTCCAATTGTCCAACTTCAATCTGCCTTTTGCATCTTACACAACCACATGTTGCAGCCGTAGTCAGGGTGGGGGGGGGTTATACTGTACTATTACCCATCTTGAGAAGTGGAATTGGGATGGGTAGCAGTTGTAATCAGGTTCATGTGTGCAAGTTGGTGATGATTGGGCACTTTTTCATTCTGCATTTTTTCTTTATGCAGGAAATTTTTGAAAATGAATTCACCTCTGGAGATGGAAAGAAAGGTGAATTTAGCATTTCTTTGACAGAATTATCTCTTATAGAGTCTATTAATGGTTGGTGTAAAATTTCCAACACAACTAACAAAATATCTATGAAGCCATAGTTGAGAAAAACATTTCATGTTCCTCCCATGGCATTGCTTTGTTTCTAATGAAAAAAAAGTTAATTTTCAAGCGGACTTGTGAGGAAATAATGAACTTGTGTTCAGAAATTAGTTTGTATTGTTTTGGACAGAAAGGTCAAACTGAAATGTTTATATATGGACCAAGTAGACCGATCCAGTAAGCCCCGCCCAGCTCGTGGGCACTTAGCAAGTGCTCTTCTCCAATGTCACACTACAGGTGCCAGCCATGCGCATCAAATGCATGTGCATGCATGTTGGGCTGCAGTGCACGCATGTTAGGTGTATATCACAGCTATGACTTGTCAGATCGGTCTGTCTGGTTCCACTTTGCTGGTTGGAAAGTATATTTTGAAGTGTGTCTTACGCAAATGACACTGAGGCCATGTCCGAAACGAGCTTCCAGAGCTACGGCTAGGTCTATTGTCTACGCGTTTCCACATATTTCCAATGGAGCGAAGACCTAGACGTAGCCCTAGACAAGAGATTCGGATGCAGCCCGAGTAATCCTGCTGTACATACTTGTATATAAAACCATGGGAGAAATTTTGTACAATGTATTGATTTAATTAGTACACTTTCCATACCTGTCCTGTGCTCACAAGACAAATTACAGAGTTAATTGAGTACTTACCCAATTACTTTTAACATTCCCATTCATAACAGCTCACAAGGATTTTGGTTCATTCTATGGCTCCAGTTACGTAGCCGCACCGGACGGAAGCCGGACAAAGGTGAGGAATCGCTTCACAGACCTCGACGGTTTTGATTGTATTCTCACTTGCAAAGCTTTGATGACTTTGGAAGAGTTGACCTGTGACCTGACTTGACTTGGGGGGAGGGAGGGAATGACCAGCAACTTGGTTACAGCACTGCCCCCCATGAAGGTGATGAACCAGAACAAACCGATGCCTTGGATTCCATTAGGCTGTGACTTGACTTGAGACTAAGCCACCGGTCTTGAGGACACGTAAAGACTTGCGAGGACGGACTCAACTACAGCACTGATTGAAATTGTCTGTGCTAATCTTTCTGGGACTGTGTCGTACAAGAGATGGCCTGCTAGTCTTGAAGATGTAAAGACTTGCGTGGACGGACCCAACGACAGCACTGATTGAAATTGAATGTGTAACCACACTGTGCTAATCTTTCAGGGACTGTCTCGTACAAGGGATGGTCTGCTAGTCGCTGAGGTTGATCTCAACTTGGTACGCCAAATCAGAGACCGATGGAGCTTCCAGGTAAATGAACAATTTCATTAATACATTTTTGTTTTATCAGGCATATTTCTGTACCAGGAACCTCATAAGTTTGATCTCATTAATTGGGAAAAACCTGAAAAATTTGGAAGATATTAGGACAGATTTGACCCAAATTGGGAAACTTATGCTCGGTCTCAGAGAATCAGAAACATGCCCATATTTCATCTGCTTATTATTTTTTTTTTGTAATTTTATTGAGGCGATTGTTCATATGACTTTTAAACAATATGAATACATCATTAATACATTATTGATGACTTGTCTCTGCATAGTGATCGTCAATATTTATATTTTGCAAGGAGGATTTTCCGTTCACAGAGTTGTCAACAACCTGGGTGTTTTTCATCATGGTCTAGATGCTTGGGTGAGGAGGACTCTAAACCAGTTAATTTAACGCTAACAAGATTCTGCGTCTTTTTTAAAACAGATGACTGGTCGCTATGACATGTATGCCAAGGAACTGGCCGAGGCGGTGTCAGAAGACTTCAAGCCTAACATTATTAAAGAGTAGAAGCTCACTGTAGGGCTGTAGTCACGCCCATCTCGAGTCCATCACAGGTCATCTAAGGCCTGTCTGTTTCACACGGATCTGAATGTTGATCAATGATCCCATCACTGGTTCACTCCATCCATTAAGCGGATTCTGGTGTCGGTAAACCAACCTTGTGTGAAACAAACAGGCCTCTAGTCTCAAGCCAAGTCACAAGCTATTCAATTTAACTTTATCCTTCCCCCCTCCCCGGGGTTACCAGTGGGTACCTTCGAGGGCAAATATGGTGGTTGTGTGTGATTAGCCAGTTGCATCTGAAATAGCTATATCAAGATGTATCTGCCCCAAGTGGTACCAAGAGAGGGTGCATTTTCCCAGCAGTGGAGGTTCCTTTGGTGGGAACGGCTTTTGGCATTGCTGATCAACAAAATGGAACAAGCCCCACCAACACAACTCTTTTCAACTGATGCAGGGGTGTGTCTGCTCAATGGAGATGCGCCCCATGGATATGTGCACTTTAGAAATACCCATTGTCTTAAGGAAAACAATTCCTTTGTCGTTGTTCATCCAAATACTTGTGACTGGTCATGTATCTGGACTTATGAAATGGCTTGTGAAGGGAGTTGTGATGGACTGGGCCACAGCACCAACTCACACCGGCAGGTGTAGGAATGAACATCAAGTTGCCTCGTGCTAAATGTGAACAGTTTTTTTTTCAGTTAAAGTGTATACCACTTTTAATTCATGTTACTGGTCACAGGTAATTTTGCCGTTTTGAAGGAATAAAGGTTATTATTTTTTAATTGACACTGCACAGCTCTTTTCATGTGTAGATAAGTGGTCTTTTTCTTTTCTCCTTGACTGATATTGAAAATGTTGTCCCCAAATGGTATTTTTGTAATGCACAAAAATAAGGTAAAGGTCCAAATACATGCCAATGTTCCCTTTTTGAAGTAACAATGATATCAAAGCATTTATGAAGTACACAGTGCCTAAAAGTATTTGTTAAATTTAAAGGCACTTATAAATAATTATTCCTGCTTATTGGACTCTCAACATCTGAACATTCCTGAAACCTCAGCTCCCTGAGCAGTACGCCAGCCCAATGCCGCCATATCAGGTGTACACGGCTAAACATAATAGCCATTTTAGCCCTCACATGTACCCATTTACCCCTGGGTGGTGAGAGGTAGGTAGGGGTAGAGTGTCTTGCCCAAGGCCTCGGCATGTAACCACCTGCCAGGATTTGAACCCCTCGACCCCTGTAATCAGGACCTACAGAGCCCAATTGCTGGGCCATATTCTCACTGAATGAATCAAGTAGTGAATGAATATGATGCTTCAGATGCCATAGTGTGCTTCCAAACTTAAATGTTTTGGGTTAGTTTACCTATGCACCTGCTATAATCAATTCTGAAATAATGTTCTTACCTGATCTAGTCTTACTTTACCCTTGTAGAGTTATAGACTTGTTCGAGCATGACAGTATTAAGATCTATTATATTTGTCAGATATATTTACTTATCAAAGCGCTGCTTAAGATTGAATAGATTGATCGATTTTCCATCAATAAACCTTTTGGGTTTTAAAATTCTTGAATGCGGTCCTTGTAATTTTGGAACTTTTGTTTGCTACTCTCTGAAATTGTCTTCTTTTGTGATCCTATGGAGTAGATATAAAAATGGTGCGGAATTTTGTTCCCATTGGGCAAGAAAATGTGACTTTTCGGCGTGGGTAATGCAAGATGTTATCAACGAATCGGCGGTACTGCCACAGTCACATTAGTTGTTTTTGTTTTTCCAGATATTGTAGATATTTGTTTTTCAGGGATATTATTTTTGTTTACTCAATTTGCACATTCTTTCCCCTTGAACAAATTTGTTATTATGAGCTGTTTGACAGGCCCAAGGGACTATGACTGGCCATTTAGCCTCGTATTTCTTGCATGGATGCGACGAGCGAGGGTACATCTCTTATCCCAACATCAAATTTGCTCGTTGAATTTGTTGCACCCATTTCATGTTCCCCCCGTTGGTCAGCCCTCGGCAATGATGCGCTATATCGGCCGACCGTTTGTCAGCAGCGATAAGAAGGGCTGTACTTTGCGACTTTTTGGCTAGCTGTGTTTACAATTATATCTGACCAACCTAGAGTTTGCATCGCGCAATGCAGCCTGGAAGCTATTACAACCTATGAATAAAATGCATCGCAATACAAACCCACCCTTGATAATGTATGCAGCGTTCGGCAGAGCCAATCGACAGAGCAGGGAAATAACTTGAGGCTGTTTAGTGTGATGTAAATCTTTTTCTCATCGAGTGGATGGACTGTGTTTGATCAGCAGATCGACTACTTTTTCAATCCTACACGCTCTGCAATTCGTTTTCAGTACGATGATGCGTTGTCATCATCCATGAGATATGACCATCTCAAAAGTAGGGCCTTAATCGAAATACATATTGAACTTCAACTACGGCAACGACCTGGTCAGTGCGTTAGTTGACGAAGACAAATGGCTGCATGTCTCACTCACTTAATAATTGTTGACTGACGATATTCAATTTGCTCCAAAACTTATTTTCCACGCTTTGGTGTAGAAACTATTATTTTTGTGTTGTGTTTGTCGCAGTAAAACGTTGTTGCGGCCTGTAGGCCTAGTTGCATACTTGAACATGCTGAAAGATATCACTGATGTCCGCTGGGCGCGCGTAGAATACTTCTGCTACGCTCATCATCCGTTGGTCCGAAATGGCGCCCTCAAGTTATATGTCGGACACAAAATAGAAAATTGTGCCATTTCGTCCGTCTCCCAGCGCCCGATCCAGGGGGGGGGGCTGATGGCTTTGCACTGTGATTGGCTACAGTCATTGTGCACAGCCTGTGACCGTGAGGTTATCACTTCCTGTTAGCGAAGCGTTGTTTGAAGTTTTTGGTTCGCCAACGGCTGGCCGGCAATGCTTTGGAACTAGCAAAGTGTCGGCTGTATGATAAAAAACAGGGCCTTGGTACAATCACAGTGTGGTATCACGTGTCTTTTGGCGATATATTTCAAATCATTGGTTATCTTGATCAATTTTGGATGAACGAATAAAGTGTAGTGGGAACATTTTCAGCAACGAGGAAGAAAAGAAAAGTAACGATTGGATAACCGCCGCTTGTGTAAAGCATTGATGAGCGAGCTCGCCCGCCTGGCCGGCAGAAATCTACCCACAATGCTCTGTGCGTCGTTAGCTGTGACCCTGTGTGACTATTTCCTTCACTAAAATATCTGTGCAAGGCCATCAGCCCTTCCCAGCGTTTGGACGCTGGCCGACGAGCGAATTTTGCCATTAACCACTTTGTGGAGGTTAGTCTTATTCCGATCGTGCACAGGCATATAGCGCCTTTCATCATGCAGTCCCGTGACGTGATCTAGCCGATATTTCAAGAATGACGGATGGGTTTTCATAATGAAACTTCGGCACTCAGACAATCGTCCGGTACTTAGACATGCAGTTGAGCTTTCAAAGACAAATTTACCCATTCCCCACGACAGTAAAGAAGGCGAAGTTTAAACCCTTCAGCTAGCAAGGGGGATAAAGTCCTTTGGAACGGGCACGAACAACTCGAAATTGGCAAGGTGATTTATTTGGGGTTTCCGCGGCAGTATGCGGTTGTCTAATCGTCACGGCATGGACGATCTGAAAAATGAATATCATCCGCAGTGAATCACGTCTTGGCGCGCGCCCGGATGGCTTAAAGGGGTTGTTGTCGGACTGGGACCGCAAATTCGCCCGCTGAACCCTGCATGCCCAGCCTGTTGGAAATGATGTCCAACCTGTGTATATGGCCTAGGGCACCAGTGTACATGTACAACGTACAGGCTCAGCAATGCGCGTCAGGTACGTGTTTACGCCAGGCCGGAGTATGTTATGAACTTAGCTTCCCACAAATCGAAAATTCATAGAGCGATGCTGAAACTTTCTGTCACGTGTGCGCGAATACTGGAGTTGGGTTTTATGGCACACCAACGACATATTTGCAGGCTCTCAAACTTTTTGTGGGCCCCCCAAATGCTTCGTAGGCCCTCGGCACAGTACCTCCAACCCGCTTCCTGGGTAGGCTTACACCCACACGACCTACAAAGTGATTGTAAATGGGGCTTGTGGTATTTAGCATTAACTGACGCGAATGAAAGGAACAGAACAGACACGGAGGATAACAATTCACGGGGCTTATCTTCTGTCTCCTTCTGCATCGATATCGGTTTGAGCATTTGATAAGTTCTTTTCATCCCAATTGGCAGAACTTTCTTCACTGTCCTACCACTGACGTTTCGAGGACGATTCATTCTGTTTTTTTCGCACGACCTAGTTGTGTGCACGTCTTTCTAATCAATTCCCGGTCCTCGCTTCGCAGACGTTGATTTCCACATTAGGCATATTATGCGCCCGACCCGCTTGGCCGACGCTAACTGAAGCGTGTTTAGAGAGTCCAATTCGATAAAGGTCGGGGTAATCAGTTTTGCCGGGTGTATAACGAGGATCCTCGCTAATGGTGTGTATGGTAAAAAATCCGAAGTGAAATGTCATGGTGCTTTTTAATAGCAATGATGTAAATGGTGTCTGGGTATGCCTCAACCTATAGCAGGCCTATAGCAGGTCTTCCTCATCCGCTGCATACCAAAATAAACTTGTGGGTTACAAACCTCCACCGTCAACGAAGTGCATGTGCTGCAGTGTCCGCCTTTCGTTGGTGCTAGCGTACTACAGGCTCTGCTTGTGAAAAAAAATCCGTTTTAACGTGGTATTTTACTGTCACACCCTTACGTATACGGTGTATTGCTTATTTTACAGCGCATTACACCTCCATTCTCACACCAAAACATCTTGGTGTTCGGTCTAATATCAGTGAACTACTTCGTAAGCAGCTTGCGTAAACAACCGAGCCTGCAAAGCTGTAATGCCTCCTGATCAGCTCCACAATCCTCAAGCGAAGGAGTAATCTATCTTTCTGCAAAAGTTCTCAGCTTCTGGTCTGATTGCTAATTTCTAGTCTTCTCGCCCCGCATGAATGGGCGATAGCGAACCTAAGGCTCTCATGATTTCGATCAGATGTGACCAGATAATAGCATTTCATGCAGGATGAATGTAGCACGCCACGATCGATGTAGACCCGTTGAATGGACTTCTAAGCAGACCAATCTAGAACGGAAATCACATTGGGTACCCTCTGGGCTCAATTTCGCACTTTCGCTTTTTAAAAGCAATAAATGGGATTTAAGCGACGAAATGACAGGACAAGCTTCGCAAAGCGCTTGTACTTAAACATTTTTCCAACCAAAGGTCAATTTAAAAGTCAGATTCCTTGGGAAACAGTGAGTTCATGTTGTGTACAATTTTCAAAAGGGGCTTTTTAAATTAAGGTCCGAGAGTTTTGCAAAAATTCCCAGATTTCGAGACACCGGTCCAAGAAGGAAAAAACTGTTCACCCCTTCACTTTATTACGGTACCAACATGGATGAAGAATAAAGGAGTTGAGTTCAATTAACTTCACTTATTCGGATATGGTTCGGGTGATAGCCGATTCTGCTTTTACTGATGTCTATTGCCCTCACTTATTTTTCAGAATAACTTTACACCGGTATCCGTGCTTGGATTCCAGTCAACTACGATAGCGCGGCATTTGAGCATTATGGCCGTCTTGTGACACGGTGGAGCATCTCCATGTGACTGGTATGTTACCAAAGGCAACGCCTTGACCAGCCATCTAATAATACACCGCTGTCTCGCGCAACATATCCATCGAGAGCAGATTTGACAAGTCGGCTGAAGCGTGGGTGTGCCGATCGAACGGTTTACTACCCGGGGTCACAGTGATATTACGCTGGCATTAAAATCAATTTGCCCATTCTGCGACTGCTAGCCACTAAATTGCAGGAACGTATTGGCTGATCGCTGAGCTTTTTGTCTACGCTGAGAGATGCCTCGAAGAGGTCGACGGACTGGAAATGCTATTGACGATGAAGTAGTTACACAGTGGGATATAGGGGCGACCCTGGGGGTGATTAAAATGGATTAAGTGCCTTTTTTTTTTCAACACTTACTAAGCCATCACTTTTCAGGCTTTCTTTTCTTGGCCACGTATGTAGGTCACTCATAGTTTATATTGTTTGCCAGCCAAGATATACCAACTCAAAAACCTAAAGGGGTCTTTGGTGTGACATGTTAACTGTATGAAGCCTTTTTGTACAGAGCATAGTGGTGGGTAGCCGTGTCAGTCAGGTAGAATACAACTATCAAGAATCAGTAGCACTTTAATGACTGACTATTAAAGTAAAACTCTGCATAAGCTTTCGTAGCTACAGCTACTTCGTCAGATGCATCAGATTGCATCTGCTTAGGCAGAGTTTTACTTTAATAGCTAGTCATTAAAGTGCTACTGATTCTCTATATTTGTACAGAGCAGTAATAAATAACGCAAATGTGAGGCTGGGGGTCCTTTTAAGGAAAACGCGACCAGGGATTTACTCAATTTCACCCGAAGACAAATAAAGAGTCATAGTATCATCAAATAGTAGACCAAGAATTTTTACTGAAAACATTTATGAAAAAGTGATT